AAATCAATATATTTTATTGGGAAAAGATATTTTTTAGGAATTGAGCGGGAAGTTAAAATTTCAGGATTTTGTTATTATATATAGTATATATAGATGTGCAAAGGGAATTGTATTACACTATTTTAAAATTTTAGAATAGAACTTTTACCAAGAATTATTGTATGAATGGGAAAAGTAGAATTCAATATATTTTATTGGGAAAAGAGATTTTTTAGGAATTGAGCAGAAAGTTAAAATTTCATGATTTTGTTATTATATATAGTATAGATGTGCAAAGGGAATTGTATTACACTATTTTAAAATTTTAGAATAGAATTTTTACCCAGAATTATTGTACGAATGTAAAAGTAGAAATCAATATGTTTTATTGGAAAGAGAGATTTTTTAGGAATTGAGGGGGATGTTAAAATTTCAGGATTTTATTATTATTATTATTATTATATATATATATATATATATATATATATATATATATATATATATATATATATATATATATATATATATATATATATATATACTATAGATAGATGTGCAAAGGGAATTGTATTACACGATTTTAAAACTTTAGAATATAATTTTTACCCTGAATTATTGTACGAATGGGAAAGTAGAAATCTATATATTTTTTTGGGAAGAGAGATTTTTTATAAATTGAGCGGGAAGTTAAAATTTCAGGACTTTGTTATTATATATAGTATATATAGATGTGCAAAGGGAATTGTATTACACTATTTTAAAATTTTAGAATAGAACTTTTACCATGAATTATTGTACGAATGGGAAAGTAGAAATCTATATATTTTATTGGGAAAAGATATTTTTTAGGAATTGAGCGGGAAGTTAAAATTTCAGGATTTTGTTTTTATATATAGTATATATATAGATATATAGATGTGCAAAGGGAATTGTATTACACTATTTTAAAATTTTAGAATCGAACTTTTACCAAGAATTATTGTATGAATGAGAAAAGTAGAATTCAATATATTTTATTGGGAAAAGAGATTTTTTAGGAATTGAGCAGGAAGTTAAAATTTCAGGATTTTGTTATTATATATAGTATAGATGTGCAAAGGAAATTGTATTACACTATTTTAAAATTTTAGAATAGAATTTTTACCTAGAATTATTATAGGAATGGGAAAGTAGAAATCAATATATTTTATTGGGAAGAGAGATTTTTTAGGAATTGAACGGGAAGTTAAAATTTCAGGATTTTGTTATTATATATAGTATAGATAGATAGATAGATGTGCAAAGGAAAATTTTTTACACTATTTTAAAACTTTAGAATAGAATTTTACCCAGAATTATTGTACGAATGGGAAAGTAGAAATCAATATATTTTATTGGGAAGAGAGATTTTTTAGGAATTGAGCAGGAAGTTAAAATTTCAGGATTTTGTTATTATATATAGTATAGATGTGCAAAGGGAATTGTTGCGGAGCTTCAAGAAATGTGGGAGAAGAAAGAATAAAGGAAGAAAAGAAATTCTCATTAAGCTCATTGAAGGCATTCATCTGTTCTTATGTACAGCAGAAGCTTAGAAGAGGAAAAGAGAGGGAAAAGCAGTTATAACAACAATATCAATTTCTAACTGCTAAGGGCCTAGGATGGTGACAAGTGTCAAGCCAAGATCATTCCTGTTGAACTCCTAAAAGCCCCCCTCAAGCTGGATTGTATAGGTTTAGCAATCCAAGCTTGGAAACATAATTCTGGAAAGAGGCTGGACAATGAGTCTTGGTGAATGGATCAGCCAACTGATTTTCAGAGGAGATATGAAATAGTTTGATGAGCCCTTTGTGTAGCTTTTCTCTCACAAGATGACAATCAAGTTCTATGTGCTTAGTTTTTTCATGAAATACAGTGTTTTCTGCAATTGCAATAGCAGATTTGCTATCACAATATATGGCCACCTCCTCATTATTCTGTATTCCAAATTCTGCCAATAGAAACCTCAACCATTGAATCTCACATGTTGTAGTTGCTAGAGCCCTATATTATGCTTCTGATGAGGATTTGGAGACTGTGGGCTGTTTCTTGGACTTCCAAGAGATCAAGGCACTCCCAAGGAAAATGCTGAAGCCAGTCACAGATTTCCTGGTGTCAACACATGCTCCCCAGTCTGAGTCAGAAAAGGCTTTTAGGTGTAAGTCAGAAGAGGATGGGAAGAACAATCCTTGACCAGGAGCTGCCTTCAAATACCTCAGCACTCTGTATGCAGCTTGCAGATGCAGACTTGTAGGTTTGTCAAGGAATTGAGAAAGCTGTTGTGTTGCAAAGCTAATGTCAGGCCTGGTGACAGTTAGATAGAGTAACTTGCCAATTATCCTTCTGTAGTGACTGTTATCCTCTAGAAGCTTACCTTCATCTTTGCTCAACTTGTGTGAAAGGACTGTAGGACTATAAACAGGCTTTGCATTTGAAAAACCTGTATCTTCAAGGAGCTCAATGGTATATTTTCTCAGACACACTGCAATGCCTTTACTATGCCTTGCCACTTCTAGGCCAAGGAAATATTTCAAAGGACCTAGATCCTTTATTTGAAAGTTTGTGCTGAGTTGTTTTTTGACTTCCTGTATGACCTTCAAATCTGCACTTGCAATCACAATATCATCAACATAGACTAATAGAGCCACAAAGGACTCACCCTTACCTCTAGTAAACAGGGAGTTGTCAGGGACTGCTTGCTTAAATCCCATACTTTGTAAGGCAAGTGTAAGCTTGGTGTTCCACTGTCTACTGGCCTGTTTTAGGCCATACAAGGACTTGACTAGTTTGCATACTTGGTTATTACTGTTTCCAGAATATCCAAGGGGCATTTGCATGTAGACATCCTCCTCTAAATCCCCATTTAAGAAGGCATTATTCACATCCATTTGATGAAGCTCCCAGTTCTTTGCTGCTGCCACTGCTAACAAAGTTCTAATAGTGGTCATCTTGGCAACTGGGCTGAATGTGTCTAAGTAATCAATGCCAAGAGTCTGATTGTATCCCTTTGCCACAAGCCTAGCCTTATATCTTTCAACACTGCCATCAGCTTTATATTTCACCTTATACACCCATTTGCACCCAATGGCCTTTTTAAAGGGGGGTAAATCCACCAATTTCCAAGTGTTGTTTTTCTGCAAAGCATCAATCTCATATTGCATAGCCTTTCTCCAGCATTCATGTTTGACTGCTTCATGGTAGTTTCTAGGTTCAGATTGATGGGATATAGTCATCACAAATGACTGAAAAGATGGTGTCAAACCACTGTAATCTACCACCTTGTTCATGGTATGAGGGGAGGTTTTTAGCTTGATATTCTGACAGACATAATCCTGCAAGTAGCATGGTGCCTGTTTGTTCCTGGTGGATCTCCTAGTGTCTTGTTGCTGAGGATTATGAGTATTATTAGATGGTAGTTCAGGAGACAACTCAATATGTTCATCATAACTGCTTGCTGGACTTTGCAGCTCATCTGGTAATTGTTCTGGATGAGATTGGTTGTGATCACCTTCCCTAGCTGGTGAGTGTTGAGGAGGGGGAACCTGATGAGGCCAAGCTTGTTCACTTTCTCTACTAGCTTGATCTTGAGTCTGAGGCACCTCATGATCCTCAAGAGGTGCATGAATCATGGTAGGAAGTATGATTTCAGATCCTACTTTTGGAGACATAGAGTGTTGAAAGGGGAATACCAGCTCATGAAAGACAACATCCCTGGATATGAATAGCTCTTTGGACACAAGGTCATATACCTTGTATCCTTTTGTTCCACCTGCATAGCCAAGGAAAATACATTTCTTGGCTCTGGATCCCATCTTTGTCATTGGCCCAACATTAGTGGCATATGCTAAGCATCCAAAGATCCTCAAGTGTTGATAGGATGGAGTCCTTTTAATCAGGACCTGGTATGGGACTTGGTTGTTGATGGCAGCAGATGAGAGTCTATTGATTATATAGGCTGCATGTAGGACACATTCTCCCCAAAATCTGTCTGGCAAGTTGGCCTGAAATTTAAGGGCTCTAACAGTAGATAGCAAGTGACCATGTTTCCTCTCCACTCTACTGTTTTGTTGAGGTGTGTAAGTGCAGGAGGTCTAATGTATGATTCCCTTTTGTTTGAAGAATTCCACCATCTTAAATTCCAATCCATTATCTGATCTGATACACTTTATGTTTGCCCCAAACTGATTCTTAATAAGATTGAAGAACTCAATGATCAGTCCTCTAACTTCTGCCTTGGACTTCATCAGATAAATCCACACAGCTCTACTGTGATCATCCAGAATTGTGAGAAAGTAATGATGGCCATGAGTGGTGGGCACTTTATAAGGGCCCCATATCTCCATATGTATCAAATCAAAACAATTAGATGACAAAGAACTACTAGACTGAAAAGGAAGCCTTTTCTGTTTTGCAAAATGGCAACTATCACATATCATATCCTTGTTAAACTGAATCATTGGTTCTATTTCTCTCAGAGATTGTAATTTTGAATGTGAGGCATGCCCAAGCCTGGCATGCCACAGAATACATCTATTTGTAACTGAAATAGCGCTACATACAGAATGTGCAGAAATGGGAAAAACTAAGTAATACAGTCCATTTCTTAGCTCAGCTCTTCCAATCATCTTGCCATGGGGAGCACCCTGTATAATGCATTGATCAGAGTACATCTTCACATTGTGGTTAGAGTGTTTAATGAAAGAACTCACAGACATCAAGTTGTAATGGAACTCAGGGATATAGAGGACATTGAGCAGGATCAAATCATCAGATAGGTAAACTGATCCTGTGAAATCAATGGCAGCCTGTTGCCCATTTGGCATGCTAACAAACATATTTTGTGTCCGTTTTTTATTGTTTAACAGCTCTAAATCACACACAATATGGTGTGTAGCACCACTATCAATAATCCAATCTGTTCTACCATGTTTAACAGAACTTACCGAAGGAGGCACACCTTCATTATGAAATTCCACTGCCACAGTGTTGGCAAGGGCCTGCGAGGGCTACTTGAAGTCCAGAGGTGAGTTGAGACTCTCTCCAACTGATCTCTTGGCCTGTATGAACTCCATGAACCTTTTTACATAATCTTGAGTGAATGCCATATTCCCATCAGAATTCTGATGTAGTGTTGCTGGTGGACCTTGGACCTGGTTCACAGATTGGTTTCTTGGCCTTGGTTTCCATCCGGGAGGATATCCATGCTGTTTGTAACATTTGTCCTGAGTATGACCTGTGTACCCATAATATGTACACACAGGTTTCTTGTTAAACCCTGATGTTTTCTTGAACCCTTGCTGAGGATGATTAGTGTATGTTCTGGCCAGTAGAGCACTGGCAGGAGTGCTACTCTCCCCTGCCTGGTACAACTGACTCCCAAAACCATTGTAGGCCATGTGGATCTGTCTCTCTTGTTGAGCAATCATAGAATAGGCCTCATTAACGTCTGGAAGTGGCCTCATTAACATGATCTGATTCCTAGCACCTGTATACTTTTCATGCAATCCAATGAGAAAGATAGACAGTCTATCCTTTTCTGCTTGTCCATTTAACTCATCTATTTTCCTTCCACACTCACACTTTGTGTTGCAAATACAACTCATTTGAGGCCTAAGAATGCTCAGCTCATCCCACAAAAGCTTTTGTCTAGTGAAATATTCATTCAAGGAATTGTCCCCCTGCTTGGTTTGATATATTTCACACTTGAGTTCAGCAATCCGAAACAAGTCTTGCTGACTAAATCTCCTTTTCAAGTCATTCCAAATGCCATAGGCAGTGTCAATCCATAACACACTACGAGCAATGGTGGGGGAAAGTGTGCGCACAATCCAAGTGGACACAATGTTATTGCATCTTTCCCAGGCTAGGAATCTGTCTAGGTTATCTGCACTAGGCTTCATAATGCTTCCATTGCTAAATGGAACCTTATTTTTACATGAGAGGGCCATTGTCATTGCCCTAGCCCACGAGTGATAGTTTGGACCCTCGAGGGGGGTAGAAACCAGCTCTAAAGCCGGATTTTCATTGATATGAAGGAAGTAGGGATTGGATTGTGACTGAGGATCAAAGGTTACCTCATTTCCATCCAATCTGCTCGCCGGAGTAGCAGCAGGAGGTGTCGAATTCGTCGCGTTGGTGTTGACGGCTGGGCTTCCTGCTGTGTTTTCCATCGCTGGTGTTCGATTGCTCAGAGAAGGCCAAGCTGTTGTCGCCATTGTAGGGTGGATGGAAGCTCCTAATTAGTCTGCTCTGATACCATGTTGCAGAGCTTCAAGAAGTGTGGAAGAAGAAAGAATAAAGGAAGAAAAGAAATTCTCATTAAGCTCATTGAAGGCATTCATCTGTTCTTACGTACAGCAGAAGCTTAGAAGAGGAAAAGAGAGGGAAAAGCAGTTATAACAACAATATCAACTTCTAACTGCTAAGGGCCTAGGATGGTGACAAGTGTTAAGCCAAGATCATTCCTGTTGAACTCCTAAAAGGAATTGTATTAAACTATTTTAAAATTTTAGAATAGAATTTTTACCCAGAATAATTGTACGAATGGGAAAGTAGAAATCAATATATTTTATTGGGAAAAGAGATTTTTTAGGAATTGAGCAGGAGGTTAAAATTTCATGATTTTGTTATTATATATATTATAGATAGATGTGCAAAGGGAATTGTATTACACTATTTTAAAATTTTAGAATAGAATTATTACCCAGAATTATTGTACGAATGGGAAAGTAGAAATTAATATATTTTATTGGAAAAAGAGATTTTTTAGGAATTGAGCGGGAAGTTAAAATTTCTGGATTTTGTTATTATATATAGTATAGATATAGATATAGATATAGATATAGATGTGCAAAGGGAATTGTATTACACTATTTTTAAATTTTAGAATAGAATTTTTTACCTAGAATTATTGTACGAATGGGAAAAAGTAGAAATCAATATATTTTATTGGGAAAAGAGATTTTTTAGGAATTGAGCAGGAAGTTAAAATTTCAGGATTTTGTTATTATATATAGTACAGATGTGCAAAGGTAATAGTATTACACTATTTTAAAATTCTAGAATAAAAATTTTACCCAGAATTATTGTACGAATGGGAAAGTAGAAATCAATATATTTTATTTGGAAAAGAGATTTTTTAGGAATTGAGCAGGAAGTTAAAATTTCAGGATTTTGTTATTATATATAGTATAGATGTGCAAAGGAAAATATGTTACACTATTTTAAAATTTTAAAATAGAATTTTTACCCAGAATTATTGTACGAATGGGAAAGTAGAAATCAATATATTTTATTGGGAAGAGAGATTTTTTAGGAATTGAGCGGGAAATTAAAATTTCAGGATTTTTGTTATTATATATAATATAGATGTGCAAAGGGAATTGTATTACACTATTTTAAAATTTTAGAATAGAATTTTTACCCAGAATTATTGTACGAATGGGAAAGTAGAAATCGATATATTTTATTGGGAAGAGAGATTTTTTAGAAATTGAGCGGAAAGTTAAAATTTCAGGATTTTGTTATTATATATAGTATAGATAGATGTGCAAAGGTAATTGTATTACAATATTTTAAAATTTTAGAATAGAATTTTTACCCAGAATTATTTTACGAATGGGAAAGTAGAAATTAATATATTTTATTGAGAAAAGAGATTTTTTTTAGGAATTGAGCGGGAAGTTAAAATTTTAGGATTTTTTTATTATATATAATATAGAAGTATAGATTATCCTTATTATGACCCTTTTTTTTTCACAACCTTCCGTTTTTTTATTTCATTTTCATTGAAATAAGACTCCTTTTTTATTTTCCTATTTTACTGATTATTAAATTTCCATTTATATTTATATTTTTAGTGTATTAAAGATCATTTTTTATTTTCCTATTTTACTACTATCTTTTTTTTTACTGATTATTGTAAGTATTAATTAATTAGTGAATTCTGTTTCCTTTTTTATTTTTTGTGAATTAAGGATTTTTTTTCTATTTTACTACTAACTTTTTTACTAATTATTATTAGTATTATTAATTAATAATTTTCTCCCTTTTTTTATTGATTGGGCGGGAAAGTAAGAAATTATGATTTTGTTTTTAATAATAGTATAGATTTTTAGTGAATTAAGGATCATTTTTTATTTTCCTATTTTACTGGTAACATTTTACTGATTATTATTAGTATTAATTAATTAGTGAATTCCGTTTCCTTTTGTATTTTTCTTGAATTAAGAATCTTTTTTATTTTTCTAATTTTTGGTAGGATTTTTTTTTTATTGTTATCCTTATTATGACCTTTTTTTTTTCACAATGTTCCGTTTTTTTTTTTCTCATTTTCATTGAATTAAGACTCCTTTTTTATTTTCCTATTTTACTGATTATTATTATTAGTAATAAACTAGTACTCTACCCGTGCAATGCACGGATTAAATATTTGAAATAGTATAGTTATGTTATATTATTAAAAGTTATTAATGTTAATAAATTTTATATATAAAAAGTCAATATGAGGTTTTTTTTTTTTTTTTTTTTTTAAATACTTCATACATCTTTTTTGACTTGCTATAATAAAAATATGACCATAAAGATTTACAATTAAAATAAGAATTGATATTTAAGGTGTGTAATGATATCATGGGAGCACATATATCCACATTATTAGCTATTAATATAAGTACTTAGTAAAAAAAAAATACACAACTTAGTCTAAACATATATTCAATTCATATCGGATTGTTCCCTATGTGGGAGGTCTAGGTTTCAAGCCTCGTTGTAGGCATAGATTGTATGGGTATCCCCTTCCTTTGTAAAATATATATATATATATATATATATATATATATATATATTCAATTCATATATATTACAAAAATCATTAAAATATATTTGATTTAAAGTTTAGGAAAAGTCAAAATATTAAAAATTAAATTTAAAATTGTTAAAAATTTATGTGTAGACCACGTTTATAGTTAAAGAAGAGTACTCGTTATTTTGACATGCAATAATAATTTTAAGGTTGCTAATTGTAGATAGAGCCACATAGAATTATCCATGTACAAAGGCAAATTTCTTAAAAAATAATTTTAGATTAAAAAGGCTTTGACCTTAGCTTTTATTTATTTTCATTACATAATATAACATTAAAGAGAATTACCGCATTCGTAATTTAATATACATATGCATTACTCTGAATAATAATAATAATAATAATAATAATAATAATAATAATAATAATAATAATAATAATAATAATAATAATAATAATAATGACAATGACATTTGATCAAAATTATCAGGCCTCATTTAATGAAGCCTATTACAAAACTATATTGAATTACAACCTAACAAAATTATGGCCCAAACCAGCCAAAGCCAACGCCAAACCTATAAATACTAAAATCTGAAAACCATAATTCCCCACTCCTTCTTTCTTTCAATCCGCAACTTACTTCCACCCCTCTTCTTTCTTTTCATCAGCAACGCACTACTTCCACCACTTTATATATTATCAACCACAAATCCTAAACTACCATTCAGAAACCATTCTTTTGATTCTAATGCTTCGCTGCAAGTCTCCTCCTTCATTATGCGACTATATCGGGAAATATGAACAAAATTTATTATCTATAATAATATTCAAATTGAAAATAAACCTAATTCATAATAATTAGATTAGAATTATTACTATTGAAGATTCATGGTCATTAAGATTGTCAATAAAATATTTCAATATAATATAAAAATACAAACATAAGAAAAACGAAATAAAAGAATAAAAATAAAAATAAATGAATTACATTAATAAAAAATAAATTGTTAGGGGTTTACAAATTACTGAAAATTTCTTTATATACGATATTTTAGTCGTATTTAGATATTATCCATTATCTCTACATATTAACACTTTTAAAATCGTAGAATGACTTACCCTTTGAAACTGCTACGTACATTTAACCATGATTAAAACACGAGCTCTCTCTAAAACTAACTAACATGTGATAATGTTTGGCACATAAAAATTGTAGTTAGTTAAAATTATACCACATAAAAAATCAACTTAGATTAGTATTGGCACAAAATGTTTTTAAATTACACTTAATTGTAATTTTAAAATATAATATATTTAATAATAAATTTCCAATTATTAGAGTAAAATACATTCAAGGGAAAATGACACTTTTTCCCCCTGAGTTATATATCTATAGCATTTTTTCCCCCTAAATTATTGGAGTGGCTGTTTTTTCCCTTGAAATATTAAATGGACATATTTACCCTTAAACTAAATATTTAATTTATTTTTTTCTCCAACAAATTATGACCATAATTTGGTTCAAACTAAACAAACACTATAGCAACCAAACCGAAATATTCCAATTACAATTTAGAATCAAAATTCGATATTTAGAGTTTATTAAAATCGTGAACCGGAACGGACGGTTCATGTTCCGAACTGAAAAAATAAAATACATTTATTGTTGAATTTAGACTATTTTAAAATAAAAAATAAAATTTTAAAATAAAGACGGTTCAAAATCGCGAATCAGATCCGGAACCGCCGGTTCACGGTTCAAGATTCAATTTTTTTGATACATAATTTTAATAAATTGACATTTAAATATTGGGTTCTAGATCTGAATTATAACCGTAAACTATTAATTCGATTGCTTTAGTATCCGGTTCAATTCAAACCGAACCATGGTCATCCCTACGTATACGCAATAATTTGTTGGAGTAGTAAAATAAATAAAATGTTTACTTTAAGGGTATAAATGTCAATTTAATATATTAGGGGGGAAAAAGCACCACTTTTAAAATAATTGAGGGGACTAATGTGCTTACCTAAATAATTGAGAGGAAAAAAATGCTATAAGTATATAACTCAGGGATAAAAAGTGTCATTTTTCCTACATTTAATTTAATTTTAAAATGTGTATAGATAGAAATCATTAAATTATATATATATATGTTTAACATAGATATATTTTTACATATCAGGCCTACATTAATATTCAAGTATAATAAATTAATTATGAGCCCAAAAGAAAAAAAATATCAGGCCTCATATAAGAACTGATACCTGCCTACTGTTAATAGCCCATAACCCGAACCCATTAGACCAAATATATAAACGAAAAGCTAAACCCTAATTCACTAAGGTCATCGATTCGTCTCCCTAAATCTGAGCTGCGCTCCTCCTTCTCTCTAAACCATCAGTAAATAAAACGTAGATCGCGTATGTAGATGTACGGTTCTACCACTACTTTCTACTTTGCGATTTCTGAAATTGTTTCCCCTCAAAATTCCAATCTGAAATTTGTGTTTATCGGCGGCAGATCTGTTGATTCAATGAACAGATCTTTAAATAAAGGTGTGTTTGGAAACCTGGAAAATGAGTTCTGGAAATCATTTTTCAAGTTTTCACTGTTTGGATGTGCCTGGAAAATCAAGTCAACGGAAATCATTTTCCGTTGACTTTGGAAAATAGGCTTGTTTTGGAGGAAAATGACTTCCCATTTTTTTGGGGAAGTCATTTTCCAACTTTTACACCAACATCACACCATCACCAACATCATCAACACCATACCACCACCACCACCGCTGCTACCACAGTCGCCACCACCACCACCACTACCGGCGCCGTCGTCGCCGCCGCCACCACCATACCACCGCAACCAGCCACCACCACCACCACCGTACCACCGCTGCCGCCACCACCACCATACCACCGCAGCCACCACCACCAGCATCACACCACCGCCGCCACCACCACGACCATACCACCGCCGCCACCACCACCACCACCATACCACGCAATCACCATCGCCGCCACCACCACCACCACTATACCACCGTCGCCGCCACCACCACCACTACCGCCGTCGCCGCCACCACCACCATACCACCGCAATCACCGTCGCCACCATCACCACCACCATACCACCGCTGCCGCCGCCGCCACCACTACCACCGCCGGCGCCGCCACCACCACCATATCACCGCAACCACCGTCGCCGCCACCACCACCACCATACCACCGCTGCCGCCACCACCACCATACTACCACCACCACCACACCACCAATATCACACCACCGCCACCACCACCACCACCATAGCACTGCAACCACCGTCACCACACCACCACCACCACCACTGCCACCAGTTATTATTATTATTATTATTATTATTATTATTATTATTATTATTATTATTGTATAACAAATAACACCACTACCACCACCATAATATTTTTGATATATTATTAGTTTTTTTTATTATATTTAAAATTATTATTATTATTATATATTATTATACATGTTGTAATATTCTAAATAAAATAATTAAAATGTTTAATTATACAATTCTACTCATTTTCCAGAAAATGAACCAAACACACAAAAACAGTTTTCCAGAATGCAACCAAACACTGGAAAGGAAAATATTTTCCGGAAAATGACTCATTTTCCAGAAAACATTTTCCAGAAGTCATTTTCCTACTTTCCAAACGGACCCTAAAAGGTGTCAAAAACTGATCTATACCGTCTTCTATCACTGACCGGTATTGCTGTGTTAAAGATAAGTCGATTCTTCATTATATTTTAATTTTTTAAATATGTATTTTCATTTTTTTTTTTTGCAATTTTGTGTTTATTTCGTAGGTTTGTATTACAAAAATAATATAATGCCTACAAATTGGCAATTTTTGTTATCGGTTAGGTCAAATTCTGACAAAATAGTAGCTAGATGTAAAATTGTATTACTTCATTTTATTCGTATATATGTGTTTGTGTACATATATGTACATATGTATATAAGGTTAGTGAATTCTGCATGCATCATTCTCATATATATAATAATAATAGAGTTAATACCCAAAATCGTCCTCGACTATAGTGGTTTTTCTCAATTTCGTCCTAAACGATTTTGGTGACCTAATATCGTCCCAGACTTTTGTGTTTCGCTCAATTTAGTCCTCCATTTGTTATTCCGTCAAATTGGTGTTAAATAAAGGGACAATTCAATAATGTCAATATTGATCTCTCTTTACTTTCAACTTGTGAAGTGTGAAATTCCTCTTTCTTGTACGAATTACACTCAGAATTACTCCCGGATCTGCAAATCAAATTTTATATTCGCAGTTTTAGGAGTAATTTTGGGAGTAATTCGTAAAAAAAAAAAGGGATTTCGCAGTTCACATGTCCCTGAGTAAAGATATGCCAATATTAAAATTACTGAATTGTCTATTTATTTAACACCAAATGGACAGAATAACAAATGAGGGACTAAATTGTGCAAAAACACAAAAGTCTGGGACTAAATTGAGCGAAACACAAAAGTCTGGGACGATATTAGGTCACCAAAGTCGTTTAGGACGAAATTGAGAAAAATCACTATAGTCGAGGATGATTTTGGGTATTAACTCAATAATAATAATATTATTATTATTTAAGTAAAAATATATAGACAAAAAAGTTAATACAGAAAAAAGTATTTTAGTTTTTTTTTTTTTTTTTTAAAAACAGAAATATTTTAGTTTTAAATAGCTAATATCTATGTTTTTGTTAGAGGACAATTAAACACTATCAAATAGCCTTATAGCTCAGAATTATAAGGAGGCACTAAAGGTAATTAAATTTCACTAACTTATCAATTATAAGGTGAACATACTTGTGGTTGCTCTGTTTTGCTTTCTTTGACTGCCTATAATTGAGGTAGATAATGACTTCCTAAATCTGATGCCTTTATTTTTTTTTTTATACTTAATTATTATTTTTTGGGCAGAAGATGAGTTCCTTATTGATGCCTTTATTTTTTTTTAGAATTTTTTTTTTTTTTTTGACAGAAGATGACTTCCTATATCTTATGCCTTTATTATTATTATTATTATTATTATTATTATTATTATTATTTTGCTTTTCATGTTGTAATTATTCAAAATGTGAAATTTTGACATTCAGTGATTTGAAAAGTTTGTAATCTCATTAATATGTTATAAACTACTTACTTAGTAGTGTAAATAAATACATATTACTGCAATTGAGTCAGACAAACTGGACTATTTTGTTAGAATAGCTAGGTTTTATTATATTACTCGTTTTTTATAAGTATAGCTAAAAGAACCACACATGCTGCATACTGGGTATGAAATACAGGAAAACATATAAAAAATAAACAAAAATTTATGGAAGATATAATAGATCATAATTCCCAAAAATACTTTAGATTTTCCTACCATGCATTCATTCATGAAATGCATGCATGGAAAAAAACTTAATGAACTTAACATTCAAAAGTAATCACTTTTTAGTAGGATTAAAACCAATTGTCTAGTAAAGAAACCCCATAACATAACATCACATGTTGAATTGTGTTTCTTCAAATCATAAAAACTGCCACTAAGGTAATTTTTCCTTCTTGATTCTAACATATTTTTTGAACTGTTAGATTGAATTTCTCAGACTGTATTTTTCTTTCTTCGCATAGATATTAACATTTAAAAATGCAGGCAAAGTCTATAGCAATATATTATATATTATATTAATTTTAAAAACATGAATGCTTCTTGCATTACTTACCTCTCCACCATGAAACATACATTTTATACTTTTGATAGATTTCCTTGATCTTCATTCAACATCTTCGTATGTGTGCATCAAACTCTCCTTCTTATCTTTCTTGGCGTAATCGGAGTGTATTTGGATGAATTGGCCGGACATAGTTATTTCCAAAGCTATAATCTGTTATATACAAAACATTTATTAAATTATGATATAAAAGAAAACTTCATTAAATTTTGCATTACTCACCTTTGCATCATGGATACACATTCTCGGCTCTTGATTATACATTTTCTTTTAGCTTCACATACTTCATACATACGAACTAACCTCACTTGCATTGCTTTCCTTATTTGAGCAGGGTGGAGTTGAGAAGCAAGAACATATTGTCCTGACATGAGAGCTGCTGCTAATTTCAATTGTCCAAGAAGTTAAAATTCTATTTGTGTTGTGTTTACCATGTAACCTTAGCTATATATACACAATGGGCTATAGTATAAAGTAGGACAGTAATAGGGTAATAGGTGTTAGATCAAAAGATTTGGTAAAAAACTTTGAGGGGTCGTTTGGTTCACGGAATGTCAGATTACCTTAGGGAATGTTAGATTGCAGGGAATGTTAGATTACTGGGAATCTTAGATTCCTGTGTTTGGTTAAAATTGGGGTATGTTATATAATCATGTTTGGTTTAGGGTTATCTTTTATACACATTATAATATCTCTAACATAACCAAGGTTATCTTACATAACCTAAGAAATTGAAGGGAATCACATTCCCTTTAAAATCCTATGTGGAGGGAATGTGACATTCCTTGAGAATGTTAGATTCCCTCAGATAATATGAACCAAACATAGGAATCTGAGCTTTGGAATGTCACATTCCCTTGGTTATGTTATATAACTTGAACCAAACGCCCCCTGAAAGATTTTTCTCCAAAACCATACGACTCATTCATAGCAAAATATTTTGACATGCGTTGGAAATAGAGCTAAAAATGCTGACATTCATTGGAAATAGGAGTAATTACTAAGAAAAGTCAAATTCTGTGAGCTGTAAACAGTACCCTGCGTTATTTAATTTTATTAATTTTATTTTTTTTGAAAACATATGCTGCGTTATTCTTTGCTGGGAAATTGAAGCAATGACTTTTAAGCTTAAAACGATGCGTTTCATATGGGCGGGAAAATGGAGGCTTCTGATTGACTGAAATTTAGTGGCTTTTATATATATATATAGATATAGATATAGATATAGATATATAGATATAGATATAGATAGATATAGATAGATATACATATAGATATAGATGGTCAATTCCGTTTATATTTGCATTTTTAGTGAATTAAGGATCTTTTTTTATTTTCCTATTTTACTACAAATTTTTTTTTTTTACTAATTATTGTTAGTATTAATTAATCAATATATATCATTTCCTTTTCTATTTTTTTGTGAATTAAGGATTTTTTTTCTATTTTACTACTAACATTTTTATTAATTATTATTAGTATTATTAATTGGTAAATTTTTTCCATTTTTATTGTTTGGGTGGGAAAGTTAGAATTTGAGTTACGAATTATTTGAGATTTGAATTGAAGTACAATTTAAAAGAAAATTTATTTTTAGTAATTCTATTTATACGAAGTTTTGAATTGTAATGTCATTTAACGAAAATTTGAGGTGTTACAAATTGATATTAGAGCAGTTCGAACCTTTGGGAGCCTAGGTTATGGAACTTTGAAAGCCCATGTTATGAATTTTTGAGGATATAAGAAAATATAATTGACTAGGAATTTAAGATTTTAGAAATTTGCAGTGAGAATGTGTGGCTTTGTAAAATGGTTGCATGTTTTGTTTTGATTGCTAATACTTGCAGGTGTTGTTATATATTGTCATGAAAAGAAGACTATTTGGATGTAAAGTTTTATATTTATTGAGATATTTAGAAGTGGTGTTTTATATTTTGGTAGAATATAATTATTTGGAAGTATTCTGTATTTTGATGAAAGTATAATTATTTGGAAGTGGTTGGGCTAAGTAATCTTTGTGTCCTATATATGAGGAAATTGTTTGGCTTAGTAATTTTATTAAGAACTTAATTTCTTATTGAATATGAGAAAAACATTTGGAGTTGGTGATCTAATTAGTGCTTAATTGTTTATTCTGGAGTTTTGTGACTAGAGGAATATATTGAGTTTATTAGTTTAATTATTGTACAGAAGGATTTGATTTCCTATTAATTATGAGGAAGATATTTAAAGTTGATGATATTAATATATTATTTGGTTACTCTTATTATTATTATGAGATGAGATTCTATATTTGAAGGAAATATTTGGTTACTCTTATTATTATTATGAGATGAGATTCTATGTTTGAAGGAAATATTTGGGTTTAGCAGCTTATTTTGGATTTGATAATTTATTCATTGAAAATGAGAAGAGTGTACTAAGTGGTGCTATTAAAAACAAACTAGTATTCTACCCGTGCGATGCACGGATTAAATATTTGAAATAGTATAATTATGTTATATTATTAAAAATTATTAATGTTAATAAATTTTATATATGAAAAGTCAATATGAGGTTTATTTTTTTAATACTCCGTACATCTTTGTTAACTTGTTATAATAAAAATATGAACATAAAGATTTACAACTAAAATAAAAATTAATATTTAAGGTGCATAATGACATTTAAAAATGAATAAAATGCTTCACCTATGCGATGCACGAACAGAGTACATGTGTGTGTATATATATATATATATATATATATATATATATATATATATATATAACAACAGAACTTTAAAATCAAATCTTAGGAGTCTATATTTTTAATGATAAGTTTGAAACATAGAAGAGCTCAAAGCATCACATATGTTGAAAAGTGTTGGTGTTATAGGTGTTTAAAATCATGAGATTGCATATGCATTTTATGAGAAATTTTCATTAACCAAAGTGAACATTTTCATTGCACAACATTAATTTTGCTCAATATTACAAATATATAGTAAAAAACTATAAATTGAATTGACATTCTATTTCATCTAATCTATTTAAAATTTTTAATTAAATTAGTGTGTGTGTGTATATATATATATATATATGTAATCAGGGGATGTATATTATTTTTGTTCTGAGTGTACATTATATTATATAATGTATATTAAGTACAAAAACTATGTATATTTAGTATATTAAAAATGTATTTTTTGTTATCGTTTACATAACACTGTGTGGACCATAATTTGCCATATACATATATATAATTAAGTTGTGAAGACATGGACCAAGGTCCAAA